CGTGGGAGGTGCGCGGGAGGTCCGCGCTCGGTGGCCCCCGCCCGCTCGCCCGCTCGGTCTGACTGCGGAGCCTGCGGAGGGTCGCGGGTCCCAACCTTCCAAGTCTCTAACGCGGTGACTGCGTGCCGGCTGGAGCTGCTGACCCCGAAGGGAAAACGTTTACTCTTCCGCGTTTGGTTTGATTTTCATGCCCAGTTTTCCCAGACAAGATTTTTTTTTTTTTTTTGGTGGTGGGGTATGTTTCAATGGAACAAATTGAATTATAAATTATTTTTTTCATGTAAAGTAAAATGGTTAAATTAAAGTTGACAGATACCTTTTACTGGATCAAACAAAATAGAAAATCTTTAGCAGACTTGTACACGCCACACATACTATATTTGTGTTAATGTAGATATGTAGGTTGCCTTTAACGCACATATATTTGCGTTAATGCAGATATGTACGTTACCTTTAACGCACATACCATATTTGTGTTAATGCAGATATATATGTTACCTTTAAAAGTTTGTGTTTTCAGAACAAAAGGACCAGACGCCAATGAAGACAAGTAGCCCAGGTGACCCAACCTCTCAGGATGCCTCTTTGCAGTTTCCTCAAAATTCTGGATCTGTTACAACTTCCAAGTGGCGAGCTGAGATGGTCCAGCCTTAAGTACGACTCCACCCAAGACTCCAGATAAGCCCTGCACCTACACAGAGAACGACAACAAAAGAAACAGCTAGCTCTCCCAGGATTTGACCATTATCACAGTTTTCTCAGGGTCCCCTGAAGATACTGTCACCCCCAGACAACAGGAAGCAATCTACAGAACATGATGCCCACATTCCCAAGAGGTGGGGTAGGTGATTTTTGGCCATTCAATGCATTATGGATGTTTATCATTGTCTGTGGGGACTGATTATAAGTTGTTAGTCATGGTCAGGAAAAAAGCTAAACAAAGGAGATAAGAGTCAGGGATTTCTTTCTGAAGGGAAAAGGGGAAGGGATATAGTACAGAAATGATGCAATAAAAGGGGTGATTATCTACTTTTGAACAACCACTAGACTCAAATATTTTGCATTGGTATGGATTTCAGTTATTGATATAAATTTAAAGTTATTTTTGTTAATACACACACACATATATATTCTCTTGTTTAAGGTATGGTGCCTATGCAGCGCATTTTAAAATGTAATGTAAATTTCTAGTTCTTGAAAGCTATTTAGGATAATAAAGACAGGTTAGTAGTTAGTCATCTATAACAGTCAAACTTGTTAGGTGCCTTTTCAAGTTCAAACAGAGATATATTTTAACTAAATAGGTGGCCTTTAAACACTTCGGAGATCTACAGAATATGGTATTTAAAAGAGAAGAGGAATGAATTGAGAGGACTGAATCGGATTTTTCCTTGGGCTGCCAACTCACAAGTACAGACACAGAGACTTAATTATGAAAGCTCAGTCTTAGCTTGGCCTTGATTTATAACTCTTATAACTTAACCTGTTTTTATTCATCTACATTTACCATTTGGTTGTTTACCTTTCTTTCATTTTGTATGTCCAACTCCCTCCTCTTCTGTTTCTCTTTAGAAAGGACCAGGTCTCTTATGTGTATAAAAATATTAAATACTTCATGAATTTGCATATCATCCTTATGCAGGAACCACGCTAGTCTTCTCTGTATTGTTCCAGTTTTAGTATATATGCTGCCAAAGCGAGCATGCTTAATAACGTTAAAAAAATTATCTTATGGGTATGTGTAACATGAGAACCTGTCTGATTGTCCTGCCTATACTTTCTGCCTGACTACCGGCCAATCAGCGTTTATTTAAAACATAATTGACAGAATATAGACAGTTCTCCCACACCAGGTATGGGTGTTTTATTTGCATGAATGCCTGTGTACCACTTCCATGCAGTACCCTTGGTGGCTAGAAGGGGGCATCAGATCCTCTGCAACTGGAGTTACAGAGAGCTCTGAGCTACCATGTAGGTCCTGGGAACTGAATCCAGCTCTTCTGGAATAACAGCCGGTGATCTTAACTGCTGAGCCATCTCTCTAGCCCCTCTTAATAACCTCTTCAGATATAACCTGAAAGCCACCAAAATGGAACACACATCTAACACTAACACAGCAATTGCAGCCCTCCCTTGAGCCCACTTGACATCTGAGTATGTTAGACGCTCTTTCTGATCAGCTCTTTCTCTTAGCCCTCATCTCATGCTTAAAACCTGTATTAAAATCCTTCCTTCCTTCCTTCCTTCCTTCCTTCCTTCCTTCCTTCCTTCC